AAAAAAAAAAAAACTCGACAAAAAAATTTCGTTCGGGAACTGATAAGGCGAGCATTAAAAAATTGGAAAAGCTACATGTTACTATTAAAGAATAAGAAAAGAAAAATAAAATAGTCAAACTTACCTGTTCAACCCATATATCAAACTTCCATTCTGGTCCTGTGATGATGTACGCGCCCCAGACGGGCATCGAAATCCCTGCCACCAAAATGTCTGCCACAGCAAGTGACACGATGAAATAATTGGTCATATTGCGAAGGTTTTGAAACACACGAAAGGCAATAACGACCAGAATATTTCCAAACAGCGCCAATAAGATGATAATAATGAGAAATGTGATGGAAATGAGAATTGTTTCCCGGTCGAATTTCTCCTCAACGTTGGTTTCATTGTTATTCAGCTTTGGAGTGGGGCTTGTCATAGCCAGCTGAAAAATTGAAACACAGCACGTGGAAGCTTTAGGACCGCTTATTATTTATCTCTTGAAGGAGACGAGGGCAGCAGAGGATTTTGGGGAAATCAGATGGTATTTAGGGGGAGAGGATTCATAAAAACACAATAAACTTTTAAACTATAAACTTCACCATAAATCTTATGGTGACCCAACCAAAAGCCTCCAGCTGGATAAATTTGGAAAAGGCGTTTTCGTACTGAATGGAAAACAACAGTTTTGTGTCGACTTTGGAGGGCGATTTAGTGAAATGCATTTGTCCACATTTCGTGGCGTTGATTCAAAAACACAACAACATCGGCGGCTGAAACGCTCGAGTGCATTTTCGTGCGTGTGCTTTACATATAATAATGTTCTAATCGTCCCACAAATGGGAGAAAGAAGAAAAGGAAGAAAAAAATAAAGAAATAAAGGAAAAAGAGAATCAGTGTTTTTGAAAAGCTGCCCTTTTGGCACACATCTGATCGAGGGTAGCGTCAAAGGTCGGCCTTACCCTAGATATAAAGTCCCGCAGCTTAGTATTGTAAGAGCCTCTGTGCTCATAACACAGTTCGCGTTCCAGGGGCCCGTTTCTCGGAGGTCACGGTAACTAAATGGACCCGGAGCTGTTTTTTGAAATAAAAATGTTAGGAATAGAGAAGCCAGTTCTGATATCCCAACCAGTTTATTATATTTTTTTTTAGTTGATAGTTTTATCATGTAATATTAATTTTTTTTTTAAACCTCCATCTTGGGTGAAACAGCCTTAATTACGGTTAATTTACCGGGACCTTCGAGAAACAGGCCTCAGCTAACATGAATACAAATAGCAGATATTCAATATACAGGAAAGACCGTTTTTCTTAATCACCCGTCTCGAACTACTTCCTACAAGGGTAACTGCTTAATAATAATTGTAACGCAATTTCCGATTTATGAAAGGCACATGACTTGTTGGTCGTCTGTACAACAACAAGGTTAATTATACGACTTCAAAAGACAGACAGGAATGAAGAGTCCTACCGGATTTAATACTGGAGTAAAGATTGAAAAGAGGTATTTCATCTATTTCTTAAAGTCAGTTTTTTGTAAAGATTTCTTCTTGCATTTGATTCAAATCGTAAATTGAAAATCGCTTTCGACGTATCATCATGCGCGTTCAGCTTTTTTGCACAGTGACACGTAAAATGCCGATTTTCAAATCTTTGTAGGTTTTATCCTCAGTTCGACATTGGTGAGGGATTTCCCGGCTTTTTAAACACTGTACGGTTAAAAAATTAAGAAAAAAAAAAAGCCAGGGATACACACGACGTGTACCTCTCTGCAGGATAAAGTCTCAGTTTAGTGGGCTGTGTTTGTGGTCAGTATAAATAAAGAACATTTGTCTGTAAGAGACACGAATGGTACTAATAATGGCACATATGGCATTATAATGCAGACGAACACAATCTCGATGTTAAAATTGAAAGCTATTTACACCATAATAGAATTGGTCTGAAAGATTTCGTGTGGCGAATGTTGGAAATAACTACATTTGAAAAGAATCGATCATGCAGCGAAAATCAGGAACCTTTGTTGGATAAGACCAGAGGTCAAATATTTGATTAACTAAGATCAAAAGCGGGTTGGAGAAGAGGCGAAGTAAATCTTTAGAAATACGCCAACTAATCCTTGATTTTCAAAACTCGAGTTTCTTCCTCAGAATTGAAGCTACTCATGTAAGCTTTTCGCAAGTAAAATGATTTGGTATTTCCACAATTCTGTCTCAATCTGAGCTCGGAAAACATGAATTTAGCTGGAAACTGTGCTGGCTTCTGTGTTGATCGATCAGAGACATTAACAAAAAGAGAACTGAACCTGATTAATTTTGCATCTCAGTGTTAATATTTAAACGAAAAGTGGATTTCTCGATGTCACGACCTCAATATAATTAAGTGAAATTGATGACTTGGTGAGTTTTTTCTCAAATTTGTCTGTCTTGTGAGACATGGATTGAAAGTAAAGAAAAACAACCTTATAAACATTGAAAAGAAAAGTGAAAGTAACAATTTAAGGTGAAGAAATGATAAGAAAACTTTCCAAATCCATATGAGAACCGAAGAAAATAAACATAACCTTTTTGTTTGGCAGCAATATTGAAGCGGAATTTGAAAAGATTCCCAATATTTTTTTTTATTGTATTTTTAATAGCAATAGGCAATATAAATATATATAAGTGCACTCGGCTCATTTTATTGCGTAGATAAGTTTCATTGCAGGGAGATAAAAAGAAACCGACCCGACCTGTATTGAATTATTGTTGGAAACAAAATTTATGCGGACAACTGAGATTGTAAAAACTGTCAACATCGCAGAAAAGCTCCTGAATCGGAAAGTTAGAGTTAAGAGTATTTCGCGAATGGATTTCTCTTCTTTGAAGCGACAGATACCGGTAAATTGGAAAAAAAACGTGCTCTGAAAGCTTACCACAATACAACAGCTGTCCTTCCAAGCTGACAGAATACGGATCACACTTTTTGACAAGCGTCGAAAAGTAACGAAGGTAAGTAGGTGTTCATTTCCTTCATAAAGAGAAAATGAATTTTCTTGTAATCTCGATTATCCGGCTCGTCCGTAGAACAAGTGTCTTATTTCCTCCTTGGCTAGGAATGATAACTAAACGATGTCTAATGCTGTAGGGTCCCAAGAATCACAGTAAGTGCTTTATATAGTGTAAGAACCTTGCATTGGGCGTAATTTCCACCAATCAGAGCACAGTATTTGTCATCATGGTCTGCAAGTGATAAGGCTCGCAAATACACTTTTTTGAGAACTGCAATTCATCCAAAATACTACGAAAATAGTGACAGTGTTTCTCAACTGATTTCTTAGGTCATGTCTAAGGTTTTTAGACACAATTGGGTGAAAAATTATTTCAATCCGAGAAAGATTCCGCATCTTAATTAAATTATTAAAATTTGGGTTGTAACTCAGCAGTTATCCGGAAACTGGAGAAATCTATTTAAAATAAAGATTCCATTTATGTTGGAGAACACTAACGAAATAATCATGACTTATTTTTGAGATTGCATTGTTAGGGAGCATTGCTATTCTTAGCATGTAAAATGATCAAGTTCCTAATGTTGTTTTCTGCGCCAATTTAAGTTAAACGACCAAAGATGCACACGATGCTTTTAACAACGTTCATAAATGATCTATTGTCATGTTCGTATTTAATTATTAAGCGCACAAAACAATTTTCAAAGTAAACTATTGGCTTATTCCTTAATATTGCTAAAGCTTTCTAAATCGACATCGCTTTTATGAAGTGGCGAAGGAAAACCCCTGAACTTGATAAACTGCTCCTTAAGTGGTGGTTGCGAGTTATTTCTTGAAAGTCGCTTGAACATAAGCTTTCTAAATGTAAAATTTTTGATGTGGAAATTCTGTTATCTTTAAGTTTCCTATAATGGTTAAAAGCTGTAAATGTGCTCTCATTCTGAAGCGCTGCCCCGTTTTATTTTCATGTCTGGTGCTAAATTATCTAAGGCCATTCGATATAAATTTTCTGATATCATTTTTATAGAAGCTTACTTCACTCATTCAAAAAGCTTTAAAATGTAGAAATTAATTTAAGTTAATGTTGCGAATTCATAAATTTTTATAATTTTTATTCACTGCTGGAAACTTCTTATGACACACTAACACGAAAAGAGTGGCGAGGCCCCTTTGTGGAGTTTGACTACCTTTTTTTGTTGTTTTTTCTCTCGCTTTACGATATTTTTCTGTCGTCTTGTTTATGCTGATTTACTCTCTTTTTTCACGGAAGAACTTTATTTCCGCACAGTATGACATGATGTTCTCTGGGAGTCACCTGCTGAGTGATTAGTCAACTTTTTAGGTTTAAGACCGATGCCTAGATCTGCCAATTTTTGAAAAGTTTAGAGAAGATTCGTCAAACATTTTTGTGCGTATAAATTTTTTTATAAAATGATTCTCATGACAGACAGCGATTAAAATACGAGAAGTCCCTGCTTTTCGGCGAATTCTGCGCGGGTAAAAAAAAGTCACGCGCGGTGCGCTAATATAACTTATTAAATTTGCTTTTGTCGTGTGTAGGATTCACGCAAACTTTCAATTTTAACCCGTGTTCGGTTCTGGGCTAGTGGAAAGAAACGAAAATGCATAGCGATTTGTAAAACTTGCTAACAAGCTGTTTTCGCTTTGATTGAAAGAAAAACGTGACCAATCTGTGCGTTTTATCATGCAATAAAGATTAAATTATTTCATTCAGGGAAGATCGTTTTCTCACACTCCTAATCATCTTAGGCTCGCGTGACAATCTCCTTATGCGTGATTACCTGCGTTTAACGCAAACCATAGATAAATTCATAAGTAAAGGACGTAGACAAGAAATATTTGATAATCGGGTTGTTCAAAAAGGAACCCGTTTAACATTTAAGAGTCATTTGTATCTACAAATGTCTGAGCAAAACTAAATTTCAGGGTTTTACGATTGCCTCGATTCTCTACTCTAACCTTAAGACTCGATGAAATTACGTGTTTTTTAGCGATGCATGTATGGGCACTCGCCATTTTGTTTAGCAATGAGATGTTCACTTCAAAATTTTGAGATTTCACTGGTTCAATTTGGTCAAAGCGCCCATGAATTTTATCATTTTTTTAAATCGAATATGATGTCTCATTTAAGGGCATATGTGCCTTCATTGATATTTCCCAAACCAAAAGTTATTTCTTTAAAAGTTCCTCTTTACCTGTGGTTAAGCCCAGTGTGAGCTAAAACGAAATAAAATTTAAGTCTAAAGCTTTAACAATTTTGGGTTCATCTTTCTTGCTCTTGAAAGCCAAATACAGGCGATTGTGTTCATTTTGCTTTAAATTGTTGAATAAAGCTGTAAAGTTTGCAAAAACCTTTACCTCATATGGTAAACTTTCATACTGAATGCATGAGTAATATTTCCACGGAAAGCCACAGAGTATCTTAGGAATAATTTTTATCTTCGTATTCCTAATCCTTAAGTATGAAATTATGATAAAACAAACCAACTATCTTTACATTTGCTTGATAAATTTCCATAAATTATTACCATATGTGCTTGTTGGCTGAGAAAAGCTTGATAACATAAAGCTGTTCCAGACAACGTGCGTTCATTTTATTGCTTTCGTGACATTCTACCTTCAATACCTGACGGCCTCAGGGTACAATCTTCATTTAAAAAACTGCGAGTTTTTCCTTTCTGATGAAATAAGATACATAATCATCGACATCATCCGTAATATTTCGAAATACTGCCACACGCAGGTTTTATTTTGCAGATATCTAGACGTTACGGCTGTATTTATAGTGTTTTTATATGTAAACACATTTCTTCAATTTTCCTGTTTGATTTTACGCTTAAAATGGGAGAAAAGTAACATGGAAAATAAAAAAAAAACCGAGCCGTTTATGAAAAAGAACTACTGCGAGGAGCAAAAACCTTTGACAAAAGGCGTTTTCAAATTCATCGTGACATACATGTTTTTCTTCTCTTAAAAATCGATATTTGTAAAAATCATTCACAATCAAAATAAGACGAATGTCAGCAATAAATATTTTGTTTTCATCCGTTCTTAAAGGAAGTCAAATTTTTCCTAGTTCAGGAGCATTCGTAACTTGAATTGAAATTGTAGTTTAAGGCTCAATTTTTAAAATTTTCGTTACTTTATCCTCCATCTTTAGACTAAAACGTTTTCTGGCTTTGTCAGAATACGAAACCTTCCTTTTTGCAGATGCAGAGCCAAATTTTTAAAGGTTTTTTCCGGCAACTGAATGCGCGTTTTCAAAATACATTTTAATAGCTTTTTTTATTTCGTTTCAGTATGTAGTCAACAATTTCACCACAAAGAGGAATATTCCCGAAAAAGGTGCAGATACGCCTGTAGTAAATACGGAATTTATTTCACCAATGAGGAAGTTAGTGCACGGTTGAAACATTTCCAAGGTTTTTGAGCGTATTGGTTTCCAGGCTATTTCACTATTTTGCTTTTGAAAATCGCAAAGTCTACAAAACATCACGTTTGAAAGTTATGCTAACAGTAGAAGTGATCCATCTTCCTCATTGTATTTTGAAAAAAACCGTAGCTGCTAAAAAGGATAGTCTCCAAAACGGAAATCCGGATAGTATCCTGAAAGACTGCGCTAATTGGGGAAATTGTATTCGATGGCTTACGTTTACACATGTTTTTATTTTATGATCCATTGGCTGAAATACTGAAATGCGTCATTTAGCAGAAAAAGAGAAAACAATATAAAAAACATGTTTATGAGATGGACTCCAACTGAAGATGGAAAAATAAACTTTACTTTCGGCACGCGTCTTTTGATTTTGTTTTAGAGTTAGGTGAAACTTATCTTTGGATGTCAACACAAATATGAAATACTCTTATGAATTCAACAAGTATTTGTTGACGTATTAGTAAAGTTTTATGCCGCACAAAGAGCCGCGAACAAAACATTATTTTGCCACATCTGCATATATTAAAAAATCTACTTTAATACGAGTGAGTGTAATAAAGCGTCAAGATAATTCAATTTATCTTAAAAAATCATTCAATATTTTTTTGCCTCAAAAACTTTTTAGGTGTAAAATACTGGAAACTTAAAAAAAAGAACTGATAACATATTCTTTAACGCCAGAAAATTGAACGAAAAAGCTAAATAGCTAGACAAAATGGCTTACTTAAGAAATTCAAACACCATTGAGTATATATCAATTTTCCGTACGTGAGATCGTCCGGTGAAGTGTCTTAAAATGATTACGCTTCTTTGTGCAGTCAGAGATAAAAGGCTGAGATGCGTACGGTATTTTTACTTACTTTTGTACTCTCGATTTTGTCAGCAAAGATACTTTTTAGCCCGATAAGAATTAAATAATTGACTCATGCGGTCTGGTTCGTTAGGCCCAGACAATCGTCTTTGCGACGAGACGGAATTCAAAAGCACGGGAGAAAACTTGAAACTCAAACTGAATTCCTTTGCGACAGAATAGATGCGTGGTGTTTTTCTATTGCAAGTCCATTATTAAGGCATTGGGAAGTAAATTTTTTTGGTCACAGAATTTCAGCGATCAGATCGAGAAACTTTTGTTTAAATTCTCATTGCTATTACTGACAGTCTTTGGTTGAGATTTTGAACACGGCGACTGCCTCACCGCTTAGGTTTAAGGTTTGCGTATAAAACAGAGAAGTTGATATGTTTTGGTTCGCTTGGATGTAACGCCCTTCATGTGTGAAATTTTGTATCAAGTTCTCGACCATAATTCCCCACTTTAGAGTTTGTAGTGTGTTATTTTTTACCTTAAGGTTGGCTTGTCAGTTCTCATATATCGTCACCAACATCTATCAGTGCCTGAGATAGCACTTATACTCCACAACCGTGCTTTTATCTTCAAACAAAAAGAAAAACACACAAAAACTTGTTTTGTTCAGCTTAGCCAATCCCTGGTAAGCAGAAAAGCTTGTTTCCATGACAACCGCCAGCGGGTTCCGGCAAGAGGCCGTTCATTACTCATAACACAACGATAATGCTGTGGCAATTTCCTTCTATTGAGTTACTCTTTATCGATTTCTTGTGTGATGAAAATCATATTCAACCCTGCAATTAATAAGCAGTTCTGTTTCACTCCGATAAATCTTAGAAATCCTCAAATTATAAAAATAGCAATCATAATACCGTAAACATTTTAGGAATATCATTGCCCTTTGTATTCAACCATCTTTAACCTGCTCGATCATCACCCTGAAGGGATATTGTAAATATTTATTGATTGACTTTAAAAACGTGACAGTTTTGCATACGTTCAAACACAACTGTTTTTTTATGACAGCATCAGCGACGAATCTTGGAGAGGTGACTTTTTAACCCAACGAATGTTTAATCAAATCAAAACAAAGTCGTTAAAGTACTTTTAACTTCTTTAATGCGAAAGAGGAACGGAAAGTCTTTTGGATGTTTTAGTTTTCTTTTCTGGAGACTTTGTGAAAAATCCACAATTTTTAATTTTGTAAACAGCTCAGTGACATGACTGTTACCTCGGAGGTAAAAAAAAAAAAAGGGAAAAATGAAAAACAACTTAAAGGAATGGTCATTGTTTATCACCAGGAAGGTAGTCGGAAGATTTTTGTTATGTTGCAATAAAATAGACCTGATCCCCCCCTCCCAAGGCTCTGTATTATTCTAATGCCCCCACTCCCCCACTGACAGTCAATTTTTTTATGTACTCCCTTAATACTCTGTTAGCAACGACAAATCCCCCCCCCACGTTGCTTCTAAACACTATGTGAACCCCCGTCGAGATAGATAATGACTGTTCCTTATAACTGCCACGATAGTGGCTATTTGAATGTCCCAAGTTTACTCCATTTATAGAAAAAGTTTTTCATCATTTAATGTTCGACTTTTTTCATCGTTGATTACGACCATTGTTTACATTTGTAAGCGGAGAGAACGTGTTCACAAAGCACTCCTCTCTGACGTGTTTGAAAACTGATGCCATTCTTCATAATTCACAAAACATATTTTTTTGATTATTGATGGGAGAAGGAAGTTGCTATGGTTCCCCATCAATAACAGGCTCCTGTAAAAAGGAGAGGATAAATGTTCTTTTTATAGGTACTTGATGTCAAAATAAACAAACCTGTTCACAAGTTTCCTAACAGCAAAATCCTGTTACAAAAATTTTTAATTGCTCACCAAGGGCTCCTGGCTTTTTAATTTCGTAATACTAGTATAAATTGAATGATTTTCGTTTTGATATGAAGCAGTACTTCGTGTTCATCCGCTTTTTGTGCGAGACATTTTCTGGTTTTTAATAAGAGAGGCGGCCAGTGCTTTTTTTACGCAGAGATTCTTTTGATAGTTGGATCGATCCTTGAAAATCCTCCAGTCTTCAGTGGAACGCTTCCCCAATTTCAAGCCTTTCTGAACACCCAGAAAAAGAAATCGTTAGAAATGATATTCATGGCTGAGTTAAATGGTTTTTTACCGGTGGTTGAGATTGCAAGTGACGAAGGAAAAAAAATATAAAAAAGGTCTGCAAAATCCATGCTTCGATAAGCGTATAATCTTGTCCTTCACGCTACTATCAGCTGAGCTTCCATAATTGTTTTATTGGGAGCTAAGATTTTGTAATGTTCAAACAACGGCTACCACTTTGAAACACTTATATCTAGTCCGAGCAAACAACTTTTCTCATGTCTAAAATGTATCAATTTGCGGAGTAGTCTTGTAGCTGAGGGTTAACTGTATGCTGCATGTCGTTACCACCGATGTAACTGACGTTAACATACACTCCCCCGTTACTATTGCGGGAATTCTTTGCCTGTGATTCAGGGTTCAACTCAAGCCTTAACATCCATAGTGATATAAACTCTATGCGCTGGTTATTTACTCGAGGTATAACCCAAACCACGGTTTTACGCAATCAGTGGGCCTCAGACTTTATTTTTCTCACTAAACTTTCTCTTCTCTTTATAGCTTTCGGTCCTCTTACCACTGTTCACAAAAACAGATTTTCAGATGAAAGGTTCAGCTAGATTGAGGAGTGTTTAGGACGCAATTTTGTTAAACAAATGCTTAACTTTGTTTACATAACCCGTTCATATATTTGTGTGAAATTACACAGGTACAACATTAACAAAATCGTAATTGTTTCGTTGAACAAAAAGGCAAAACTTTTCCTAGATTGCCAATGATCAGAAGCGTTACATTAACCGGCCAGAGATCAAAGAGCATTTGAAGCCGGCATTTATGTCGTAAAACGTTTTCAGAACTGGACGAGTTCTGTTCCATTTGAGGAGGATTTTTCCATTCCTCTTCGGCGAAAAACACGTTTCCTTCCAAGTAATGTGACGAAAAATGCCTTCCTGAACTCTTTATGCATGCAGGCGTATAGAATGGGATTCAGCACGGAGTTTGTGTAATGCATCCATTTTGCCACAACTATTGTTACTGCTGGGACACATCCATTGCAAAATCCATAAACTGTATTTAAAATAAAGAAAGGGCCCCAACAAACGACAAACGCGCCTATCACAACGGCTATTGTTTTAGCGGCGCGCAGCTCTGACGCTAAACGAAATCTTTTCATGTTCACGTTCGTCGCCAACGAGATTTGGCGAATTTGAAAGCGTACAGTCCTGAAGATGCAGGTATAGAATATACACATGATTAACAGTGGTATGAAAAAACAGCTTATTACGACTGTAAGTTCGTATTTCGGTGGAGGTACCTCCCATAGTACAATCTTGAGCGAGGACATCAGAACAGAAAATAACCAAATGATGATCAAGATAGGTATTGCCTTCCGTGATGTCACTGTGATCTGATAATCAAATGGATAAGCTATGCAAACGTACCTTTCGATGCTTATTGCAGTCAAGTTTGTTATAGAAGCCACCCCGCAGAGAATATCCATAAAAGTCCAGATTTTAAGAATACTTTCTTTAAGTCGTGCCCCGAACAAGGGATATGCAGCCCAAATCGGCATGGATGTTATTGCCACCAAGATATCAGCTACGGCTAAAGATACTACAAAGTAATTTGTGACTGTGCGAATCTTGGAGTTCTTTTTAAAGGCGAGAATAACAAGTGTATTTCCAAATAAAGTCATGAACATGATCATCAGCAAGAAACTAAATGAAAGAATATTCAGTGGGCTGCTTCGCTCACCCATCGTTGAGTTATTCAATTCTGATTCCGGCTTGAACAGATTTGTTTGGTTCATTGCTTGGCCTTCCTTCATTGATAATTCCATGAGGACTTGCTACCTGCACTAGCCTTGAGAAAATGAAAAATGATCAGCACACAAATGATCTCTTTTTCGAAGAGGCTTATCGAAAATAATGTTTTGTCTTTTCCGACGAATCTTAAGAAATTTACAGGTATTCGCCTGCTGGTGTGGTTGCAAAAGACGTAGGTAGGAGATATGGTGATCAAGGAGCTTTGTGGATAAAATGAATAGCATACAACAAGATGGTCTCACGTATGGAAATTTGATTTTACAGTGATCATCATTAAACCAATAATTACCATGTGAAAGGAAAGCTACCAGAAAACATTACAGAAACGATCGACTCAACGGATCTGATTGGACGTTGAGGCAAGATGCTAAGTGCTTTCCACACAAAAAACACTTTAATCAGAGTGCGGTCTAGGCAATAAGAAAAGCAATAAATTCTGTTCATCACCTCTTCAAGACAAAGAACAAACGAGAGAGAATGTGTTGGTCAGTATGTATGTGTATGTTTGGTGCAATTATCTGTTTGTAGATATGGAGGCTGCTTCTCCCTAAGTCATTGCCGCTCACCAAAAGGACAGGTTGCGATAACAGTTTGCCTTGAGTAACATGAATTTCCATTTTGTAACCCGGAGAATTTCCTGCCAAAGTCTTTTTCACTGCGACATGATTTTGTACCTCCTGTGAGTCACACAAATTCAAACTTGTTTCAATTGACGCGAATGTCATTGTGATAACATGGTTCAAAGTTTCTTGGAAGCTGGAAGTGGCACAATCGAAGTTACGTGTCGCTGACACCTATTCCTTGATGTATTCTGGTACTGGAGTCGCTAGGCAACATAACTGTTAACTGAACCGCTGTCAGGAGGGCTTTCTTGTTTATGCCCCGCGAAAAACAAAAGAAAAAATACAATAATAATCATAAGTTTTTAATTAGCACTTCAACAAATCTAGAATTTTGGGTTGGTAGTTTGTAGTATGTAGATATCAGTTACAGAGATCAATTTATTATCGTGCATGAGATAAAATTATTAATTGCTTAAAGCTGATAAAAAACAACTTTTTCGATTGTTCAACTCCAACTGTGGGGAATCTGAAGTGTTGTCCAATCTTCTTAAGGAATGGTTATCTGAATGCCAAAAGACTGCAGGAATTCAAAATAATTACCAACTTGCAAAATCGAGAGAAACGTTTGATTTTTTTCATTATGGGGTATTTTTTAAAGTTGTCAAATTTTGTACCTATTACCTTTGACTGAAGCGAGTAAGGAGAGTATTTCTTCATTCTCTGATCGATAATCTAAAAACACAAACTAAGCACAATCGTTGCGAGAGGCTTCCTTGTTATCATGGTACTTAAGTTAAATCATCGTTTGCCGGCGAGCGATTGTGAAGAAGAAAAGAGTTGTTAATTGTTACGGTATAATCGAACCGACAGAAAGAACACTACAATCTTACGAACTCAACTACTTTATTGAACAACGAGTAATATTATTAACAAGTAGCGACTCCTAAAGGCTGTACAATAATTATCCTCAATAAGCTTACCCAAGGCCACCACAGTCTACATCTTAGCTCACCGCTGACACAATCTCACAATTCTCTCCAAGTTCCTCGGAATGAACAATTTTCCACGGTGACTTGGCACTCTACAAATTTCTAGAAACTTATTTTTTACATTAATTATCCATAAGAAACGTTGTTTCCTATCAAGGCGACAATATCTTGTAGCGAAACGATGTCTTGCCGGCATAGTTATGGCATTGTTAGATGAATTGTGTGTTGACCGCTGATTAGTTCGTTCGCGGTATTTTGTTCATTAAGAAACAAAATGGCGCTCGAGTGTACTCCTAGTTATGGATACTTAAGTGCAACAGTTTTACGAATGTTTAGACCTTCTAAAGCTGTAAAATGTCTTAAATTCAGTACATTCATGAATCACAGAAATGGTATTTCACTGAAAAGTGGAGGCATAATCGAATGTTTTCCGGGTAAGCTGTTTTTTATTCACTCGTGACTGAGTTTTATGAAATGAAGCAGGTTCGCTTTTATGCTTCGCTTTTGGCCTACAGTGTTAAAGAATAACTGTCTTTTAAATTCTCCTCCGCCAGGGCAATAAAAGGAGGCTATATTCTTCGTCTTTTCTCAAAAGAGTGACTTAATTTAACCTGTGAAACAACTGTGGAGGAAAAAGAAATGAAATTCACCGTCAAGGTCAGTAGACAAATTTAAATGGAGATACATTTGAAATTTATGCCGTTGTTGTGAGGAAGCTGATTCACTGTCACGGATTCACGTAAGCTAACTAACGTAATATTAGTGTAGTCCAGAAGGGGAATTTCACCGTGAACTGGAAGCAGTTTTATCAAAGGAACTATACTTTTTATTATTTATTAGAATGACTTAACAGTATGTCGATGTTTAGAAGTTTACACTGACTTCCAGGACGCCGTTGTGCTACTATAGTTATGTATTAGCTCAGTAGCGACTGTGGCAAAAAAGGCAGATCAGTTAGAGAATATATGAAGTTTACAAATGGAGATATCTTATGTATATATTCAATACACAAGCAATTGAATTAGCGTGATCAACGATTGATGGCTTAGTTGAACTGAGAAAGGCAATAGCTCACACTTGCAAAAGAGACTGTTCAATCTCAGTGTGAGCTAATTGTCCCATGTTGTAATCTTGTTACGAACACATGAAATGTTTGAGTTTTTCATTAAGGACCGGTCATTAATGATGTCGGGGGGAGGAGGGGGGAGGAGAGGAAAAATATGTTACAAAGACCAAAATTTACAAGCTCCCCCCTTCCAGGCCATATAAATAGCAAGTAACTCCCCCTTCTTAATTTAATATTGACGAGATGACCCCCCTGTCACCTCATGTCTCTTCTTCTATGCCTAGTAACTGTTAAAATTCATGCCACACACAACTATAAGATGATTATTTTGCATAAAAACCCAACTTGGGCAATGGAAAACTCTTAAAATATACCTCAAACTGCTGAGGCCACCTAAACTTCTTGATAAAAATTTAAGCTTCCCCCCACTCAAGTCAATCTGAAATAGCCTTGACCTCCCCTCCCTTCCTTCTTTTTTTCCTCCCCCCTCTACATAAATAATGACCGGTCCCTTCGTCTGGCCAATAAATTTAGTTCATTTCCGAACCTTCTTCAACATGTTTACTTGCGCCAAAGATAATCGAATCTTTTATATGTGGCGCGGGTCTTACGTCTTTCTGACAACATTTCGCAAGCTATGTAGCTTGCGGATTCAGGAGATTAAAATTAAATGTTAGTTCCTAGGGTAAGTTCTGTTTGATCCGTGGTTTCATTTCTGCCTCTTGGTCTGCAACATCGTTTTCGTCCAAACAGTATGATGCAGAATGCCTTTCTGAATTCCTTGTTCATACACGCGTACACAATGGGGTTGAACACCGAGTTTGAGTAGTGCATCCATTTGGCCACAACAACGGATTGCTCTGTTACACATCCATCACAAAAACCATACACTATGTTTATGATGAAGAAGGGTCCCCAACTGATCACAAAAGCGCCCATTACGACGGCTAACGTTTTTGCGGCGCGCATCTCCGACGCCAGGAGAAAGTTTTTGACGTTACCTTTTATCATGAGCGCTATTTGGCGCGCTTGAAAGCGCGCAGTTTTGAAAATAAATCTGTAAGAAATACACATGATTAGAAGCGGCACAAAAAAGCAACTGATAACTATCATTAGTTCGTATTTTGGTGGAGGCCATTCCCACAGGATAATCTTAAGCGAGGACATAATGATAGAAAATATCCAAATGATGATGATGGTAGTTATAGCCTTCGTTGACGTCATCGTGGTGTGATAGTTGAGGGGATAAGTGATACAGAAGTACCTTTCGATGCTAATTGCGGTCAAGTTTATAATGGAAGCCACTCCGCAGAGAATATCCATAAATGTCCATACTTTTAGGAATACCTCTTTGAGTAATACCCCGGACATCAGATAAGCAGCCCATATCGGCATGGATACCAAGGCCACCAAGATATCTGCTACGGCTAAAGATACGACGAAGTAGTTTGTTACTGTGCGAATCTTCATGTTCCTCTTGAAGGCGAGAATAACAAGTGCATTTCCAAATAAGGTCATTGTCATAATCAGAAGCAAGCAGCTGAATGAAAGAATATTTAGAGGATCGTAGATGCCGCTAGTTACTGAATCGTTTAGTTTTGCGCCTGGGTTGGTTGTGTTTGTGTGATTCATGGCTCGGACTGCAGCTGTTGGCGGTTCCACGGGCACTTGTAAACCGTTAAGTGCTTGAAGTCTGTACTTGCGGGTTTTGCAATCGAAAATCTCTCTTTATCCCCCACGGTTGACAGGAAATGATGTATTATCTATTTTGATGGCAGTTTTGGGCTGAAAAGTTTTCTCTTGTTGACAGGTAGTTTGACGGGAAAGTAACAAACAAAAAGATATTTTAAAACGTCATAAAAGATTTGGACGACTTTTTCGTTGTCAACCACGGTTACTTGGCGTAACAAGGAGCTTTCTTTCACAGTTTTTTTTTGGGGGGGCTAAATTTCCACTTTTTTAAAAGCTTGTCGATTTGATATCCTCAATGCAGTGGGAAGGTACCTGTGTAAATGAGAAAATCTGGATTAATAATTTGAAATGACATCGGACCATTAAGCTTTATGTTAAATATATTTTGACGGCACTTAATTTCGCATCAGATAAAAGCTAAAGAGAAATGAGCTAATTTCCTTTCTAAAGCACTGAACAGGTCGATCCACTAGGTAGAAGACACCATACATTATCCAATTTCTGGCGAATAAATTAAATCGTCTTGGAAACCCTAAGTCAGGCAGGTCCTTAATTTCGCTGTTTATCTCAAAAGAAAGAAGGCAAATGTTTACCACAGGAGATGGTCATTTCCAAAAGGTGAATAAAAAACCATCTCATTGCATTTCCCTAGAATTAGTCGAGCTTCATTTGGCAACTTCCTGTATTAATACAGATAGAGATTTGAAAGGATCTACTGAACAATGTACATCGACCGCCGACTAATAACACTTTGCATGAAATGAGTTCAACATCTACCGCTTTTGATAGACTGGAGTTCATTAAATTTATTTAGACTAAGATACACCGGGAGAACGTGTTGTATTTTAGCAATTTTTAGTCTTGTTCAATTGTTATCATGACGAAAATTGTATTCGAAGAATTTTTTTACAACGAATCTTGCAGAATCTGTGCTTTCGTGCGATGTGAGTCCTGTTCCTACCGCTACGAATTAAAGTTATTTAAGTGCCTTTAGGAGCTTAAGTTATTGTGAGTTTTATCAATTAGCACAAACGAAAATTCTCTTTTTTTGACGGTTTTATTGCTGCAAATAATTATGTTCGTCGAGGCCAGAATGTGTCTATTCAATGAAGTATATCTACATAAGTTTTTGTATATAATATTGTTAGTGAATGTTTTGACCAACTTGGAAAGGTTCTAAGGATATTCATTTTGTAATATTTTTGCCGTGAAAAGATTAAAGAAGCCGCTGGAATTTTGGTCATTGTGCACAAATATATTCTTTGAGGGCAGTGTTGAACTATTCAATGAGAAAAACAGTATCCTTGCTTCTTTTTTAAGGAACTGCTGCAAATCATTTACATTTCTATAATAAGAATACGAATTTTCTGGAATAATATGCATAAAGCAAAAATGACCAAAAAAAAAAGTTAAAATGAAATAATGACCAAAAAAATATAATAAAAGATGAAATTGCTCCAAGGCGCTTTTTACATTTGCATTATCGGGCGCTGTATTTTAGTGGATTTTGGTGCTTAGGATGAAGGATGAAGAATGAAGAGCTTGTGTGGCAATTTAGTGTTATCAGCGACGTATTTCACTCTGACGAAGGGCTTACGCTCGAAACGTCAGATCTTTAACTCTTTACGGTGGCCAATTTACATTACCAACTCAGTTAATAATACTGAATTACCCTGTTATACTCTCCCACCGACGCAGCACTAAAGTTTATTCAGAAAGTTACCCCTCTATGATAATAAATGTGGTTCACCTCTCTCCGCAAGCGAAACCTATCTAAACATTATCTTTGTTAGAGTGAAGTTTATTCTTATTTTACACAGACAGCCTGTCTCTTCTAATAGTGTTAATGGCATGTGGTTTGAAGAGCGTAAAAACAAACTCCTTTAAATTAAAATGAGCTACACTCAGCCTTTGGTGCCGATGTAGACTTTTTCTCAGGTGTTTTTGTCTAAGGACTGAAATATAAGCTTGCGTACTTTCTCTTACTGCCCGATTCCAAAGTATGTGGTCACGCTAGAGGCGTTCAAGCAGGGTAAGTAAACCACCTTTAAGCCTTAAAAGCCAAAATATATATTTTTTTTATTTCATATCTACCAATACTTCGCAAATGGAAACTTTTATGTTTTTTTTTAAAAGAAAAAAAATTGAGTCTTATTGCATTAATAGTATAACGGCAATTTTTTAATCTCTGACACGTTATGAACATATCGAAATGGCTCCCGCTAATCAACTTTTAACGTGTAAAACTTCCGTTTCAAGCGGATTTTGCGTTTGAAATTTGCTGCACAAAGTTAAAGCAGTTGTTACAAAGGTTGAAAAACGTATACCATGTGACAATTTAAATTATTAAAAATTCACGGAATCACTGAAAAGTTTTCTGTTCTTTTCCGAGGCTGCTATTTTTTAGTTTCATGGATTCTAACGAGTTGCCAACATCAAGTTGTTTAGGTTTTCTTTTCTTGTCTTTTGTCTTGTCGAAAGATATATATTAATAACACCACAGAGCATCAACTTTAATAAATTTTAGTCGTAGTGTTGACATCACATCAAAGAGGTTGTTTTTGTTACTCATTCGACTAAGTTTCTGATCTATTCGTGAATTCGCCGAATGCACTTACCAATATTCAGCACAATCCCAGTTCGAACCGAGCCCTTCTTACAGCGTACGAATTAGTTTGTTGGTAGACATGGTCTTATATTTGTGGAAACCAGGAAACTTGTCAAGGAACATGCCACTTGTATACCTGCCTGCGGTACTCGAGAAATGAAACTTTTCGTGTACCTAACCAAAATTTTCCTTCTTTCATAATCCAGACAGTTAGCTTTCGATTCTCAGAGACGCATGTGTAATCCGCTTTAAGAATTTTGTAAACATTACCTGCTGTTTGCAGCTTCAGTAAAATTGCAGCGGTTTCGATGATTGTCGATGACCGGTGCTCTACCGCCGCCTATAGAACATCTTACCGCCGTCTGTAGCCTGCGAGCAAATTCTCGTGTTTCGTTTTCTCATTATGGCACAGAAGTCTATTACACGATCGGCCGCCGCCTATGGAAAAGGTATTGAAAAACCCCCTAAATCGGAGGGTTTTTTTTCCAAAGAAAATTATATAATAAGGGAACTCAATGTGACGGAAATGTGATTGTCAGCGAGCATAACTAGTAATTTGAATTGGACTGGGTTCAAATCGTGGAAGGGTTTCAATGATAGTCGGTTGCTAAGGATCTACCGCTGTCTGTTTTGCCTGCGGGCAAATTCTCGTGTTTGGGTTTCGCCCTATGGCACAGCCGCCTTCTATACCTTCGCTACCGCTGATGGGAAAAAAGTCATCGATCAACCCCTAAGTTGGACTTTAATATAATAAGGGATTTAAAGTGACAAATTTGATTGTCAGCGAGCATAACCAGTAAGTTGAACTGGACTGAGTTTAAATCCTGAGGGTGGTAACAACCACACTGACGCTTTTCGTCAAGAAAGAAAAGTATAAAAAAACAGATAGAGCATATGACAGTGTGACGCAGAAAAAAAACTACAGAGGCCCTTCATCAATGGTTTGGACAACGTTTTCAGTTTTCATAAGCGGTTGCTAAGGAAGCAATAGCCAGCAGTGCCACAAGGCGAAACCCAAACACGAGAGCCTGCACACAAGTTGAACATAAGGTCGACCGGCGATTGACCACCTTTAACCGAAACCCGTTTCATGTCGAAGGTTTTCCTCGAGTCCGGTTTACAATAAACTGAAGATATATAGGTTTATCTGTCGTTTTGAAAGTTATTGTTTCTAAAAACCTCTCTTCGAAAAGTGTCACCGTCTAAAAGCCCACATTACTTGATATAAGAACCATGCAGATCTCTGTATTAATAAGCCTTGGGGCACATTTCCCTTTCTTCAGAAACATTATATATCAGCCAAGGAAATATCATATCGCCCATGCAAGAAAAAGATAGGTCTTTCTTTTGTGCTGATGCAAATTTTGAGTAGTGCTTAATTTTCAATTTTTACTTTGGTGCAACCGCTGTTTGTTTCCTTATCTTGGCAACGTCTTCGAAATTAAGAAATACCCAACTGAAAGCGATGTCATTTGAACATTATTTCACCTGTTCCGCGAAGCTTAGTGATGGAAAGATGCAGATGGCACAGCCGTAAATTATCGGTGAAGCATAGCTATTTGTTTGGTCAACGTTCTTGTGTTGTGGTAAATGCTGAGAGGAATTTTTTTCACATTTAGAGCCTCACTGGAAAATTTAAAAACCTAGTTTTTGTTTTACCGAAAATGGAGCAACGGTTGACAATTAAAACTACATGAGCAGTTAAAACGCAACCAGACTTTTAATTGTTCACAAAATTATGTTAAGCGAACTAAACATTAACATCTAATTTGAGCTTGAAGCTGGATACTAATTTTCATCTCGCAAGTTTTGGAGGATACTTCCAATAAGGATTGGTTAAAAAATTTTTTTTCATGTAACCCTCGCAGTTATACATTTTATTTGCTGGTGCCAAATAAATATTATTTTTAAATTTTTAATACACTCATTTAGCCTGAAGGTACAGCTATCCCTGTGAGCTAATTGTCATATTTTCTTTATTTAAACCGCTAAACAATCGATATGCATAAATTTTCAGTTTTTCCCGGTTCAGTGTAAAACTTCTTCGAATCTAAAAGAAAACTATACTTTAGACCTTTCAAGGGAACTGGGAAAACAGCATATAAATAACATAATTATTTATTTTTTTAAACTTAAAGAAATTCTTTCCGAAAGAACCCGAATGACTTAGGGCTGTAAATACATCGAGATCTACCATAAACTGAACAATTTTTGAGCGAGTAAATGGTAGTTAAAATAGGGATGATGCAATTAAAGAGAGATGCTTCACCGCAACATTTTCACTTGTGTAATGATAAAGGTGATTTAAAAGACTTCCAAATAAACTTTGAAACATTATTTTTACAAGTATCTGTCACAATCCGTCACCTGCCAATTTGAGAGGGCGTAAGAGAGGAAAAAACGCATGTTCATTTTTGAAAAACAGTGAAACTAGTTTGGCAAGGATTGTCACGACAATGTTTTCTTAAAAAAGTCCGTGATCGAACGGAAAGTATTATTCACTCTCATCGATGATTACTTCATGTACGAAGATTTACCTCTGTTCATTGAGTAAACGGCGAGGAAAGTAACTGTAAGTAAATTCAAATTTTTTATTTTGAAGTTGTTAGAGTTTGTACGTTTTTTTTGCTGCAATGGCGTGCGTAAATCTGGTCTTTCCTCTATAAAAACTGAATTCGAATGATACACTCCAACGAGACACAAGGGGATTTAATGCGGCCTTTTCTCATTGAACTCGGCGACTCACGAATGCGCTACCGCTGCCCGTGGGCAGAGACAGGAAAATACGGACCGCTTAAAGCACTCCTCTCGCCTCTGAGAAAAAAATAAATTAAGTTATTTTTATTACGATGGAAAATAAAGTTGCCTCTCACCGTGCTTCTGTACAACAAGCTGTGACGTTGGATCGAAGAAATAAGATGGGAGACGGGAAGAAAGTACCTAGCAAAAGAGAAATCCTATCATCCATGATCCGTCTTGCCGCTCAATTTTTCTCATGTGACAGACAATTCTTGCTGCACTATTCCTTTTGCGACACTGTTTTTCAGAGTGAGATGCGACAACAGGCCTCCTGTGAATTAAATGAAGGCGCCAAGGTTCTGGCCGATAAACTTTTCCTATTTTTAACGCCCCGTTTACTAGCTCCATCACTTTCATTGGCGTCTGAATTATTGAAAGGAATACTTTTTTTTTTTTAATAATAAATCCTAACTTCCCTGGTTTGCTTACATTAAGAAAAATTTTCGATATCATTGCTAATGATTTTCATTCTCTCAATGTAAAGTAAACATATGCTTTAATTTAAGCATACATTTCAGAGGACCCAGCTTTTTAAGTTATATTCACTTCACTAGGGAGTTTGAATTCTACTTGAAAGGAATAATATATAAATAAAATTATATCAAAGATAATAAGATTCCTTTTCAATGTGAACAGCATATTCAATTCCGGTTAGCGAAGTTTTCTTTCCTCTCAGACAGTTTCCCGTACTTTATAAATTCTACTTGATGCACGGAGGGACTTGGGCCGGCCGTTGTAGCCTTAACAGTAATTATCTGCCTTATCTTAATATTAGAAGGAAAACATAACAAAACTGGTCGCATGATAATTGTTATAAGCACTCTACTCTTGAACTTTTAAAATGTGTTGCTATGATGAAACCTGTTACTGATCAAAGCCCGTGTTTACTCCAAATTCATCGTTATGGTGTAGAATGAGTTTTATCCAGTCTACTAAAATATATTTTTTTAAATGCATTGACTTGATTGAGCAACCCAACAGTTTAAGGTTTAATCGACTAGGCTTTAACTCATTTTGATAAATGTTATCGGAAACAGCAATAATGCGTAAATGAATGGTGAAGCAATCACTCCTTATCGCAAATCGATGTACCTCTGACACTTTTTCCACCTGTTTCCATCCTGAGCTGTTTTTTACAAACAAGCTAGGTTTGTATTCAAACATTCAGATTACAGTTTT